TCCTATGGACCGATACTGGCATCTGTCCTACCCGTCCTACCACTATCACATAACATCGTATCATACTAGCACATAAAGATAACATATAGTGACATACCAAATAATTATCATAAAGACAATCATCTCTACTATAGCTCTTACTACTGGGCTGATATTGGTGCCTTCGACCCACTTCTACTGGAAGGTAACTTACCTCACATTGTTGAAGTTCATTCCAGGAAATCCTTAGTTGTCGCCCTTGCAACTTTTCGAGCTGTCAATACCATAATATCACCCAATTAGCGATTGGGTCTCAAACCATGATCCATAATCAAAATCTTGGGGTAAAATAACCATTTTATCCCTGGCCCAACAAACCCATATTAAGACCCAAGTCCAAAACCAATAAGGTTCAAAACCATAAAAATCCACAAAAGCCCAATATATGGCCCAATTTGCAAATTGGGCCTAACACTTACATGGGACTACCTTTTTAGGACACATTCTGCACTTCATAACTCTCCAAGGTCAACCTTGGTCAAATTCAAAGTAAAAGTCAACATCCTGGTTAACTCAACTCGCCGAGTTGGTCCATCAACTTGCCGAGTTCCTTAATCCATGAAACTCTGGAAATCTCGATCCTACTCGTCGAGTTATTTCATGCACTCGTCGAGTTCCCCTTCATACAAAGTCGGGACATTTTACTCACAACTCGCCGAGTCCCTCGTTGAACTCGTCAAGTTCCTCAATCTTCATCACCTAGAAAACTTTGGTCAACTCACTGCGTTATCTTCTAGACTCATCGTGTTGTTTAGAAATCCGAAAGATTGGGGACCACGATCCAACTCACCGAGTTGGATGAACAACTCGTCGAGTCCTATTAGTCTTAATCCATTAAGTCACTTTATGTTGAGTCCAACACATCCAAACCATAAATCTGGTCCCCTAAGGCTGGAATACCACATAAAGTTGCTAACTTTACATCCATGCATGGCGTCAAGAAGCTAAAAACACCAAAACAAAGCTATATACGAGATCTAGTGCATGGGGAAGGGCGAAGACTAGATAAAGCTGGAAACTTTCAGTCTCATGAGGCCTCAACGTCTAGATCTAAAGGCATGACCTCAAAGCATGCTCAAATCTCGAAAATGACTTCAACATGGTCCAAAAGTAACAAAATACACCCCTAAGTGAAGATCTAAGCAATGGAAATCCAAGGTATCAACTTTATACCTCAAATGAGTCATAAAATGTAGCTCAACTCCCGAATATACTGGTTTCCTCTTGAATCCTCAAGCTTCTCCTTCCTTCTTAAGCTTCAAAATCACCAAGAACACACATCAATGGCTCAAAAGTACTCAAAGATGGATTAGGGTTTCGTGGCTAAGGTTTAGGGTGATGGAGACTACAAATGAGGCTAACTTTTGGAGTTTAAGGTGCTTAAATATGGTGCAAACCCTGAAAATTAGGGTTTCACTCTGGCAACCCTACTCGTCGAGTCGGGGCTCCCCAACTCGTCGAGTAGGTCTCTAAATCTCGCGCCGAAATTTCCAATTCTACTCGATGAGTTTGGGGCCTCAAACTACTTGAATCCCTTCGCAAAAATTAGAATTATTATTTAAAATACCTACCAGGAACCGAGCGTTACAACCCTAAGAGCTCCAAAGCTCATATATGGTCCTTCCCATGGTCTTGATGGATAAGTTTTCCAACTTTATCCATTAAGACACCTCAATAAGTCAAGATTCTAAATCCTAATCCTTAAAGGTGACTAAATGCATAAAGTCACCCATTAAGCACCCAATCTCTAGAGGTGCTTACCCAAGGTTTCCAGAATGGTTCCTTACAAAGTTACACCTAATAAATAATAAAGGTTGTAGCTTTATGGACATGCATGTCCAATGCATGTCCCTTCCATTTTATGTAAAAAAACATGGCAATAAGGAACTTAAGCTTGAGCACGGGACCAAAAACTCAATAAATTATTAGATCTGAAACATATAACACTAAATGACCACTGGAACCATAAACTTGCAAACTTTATGAGATCCAAACTTCTAATTCCTCACACCATGAAGATTAAGGGATGAAAGGGCTAGATCTAGAGACAAGTGACGTACAGATTGGATCTTGAGGTCTTATAAGTGTCCAGAAAACATACACAAGAGAAATAGGGGGAGTTGCTTGCTGAAACAAAGCCTAAGGGTGCCTTGTTTTTCTTCAAAACACCATTAAACACACAAAAACTCAAAGGTTAGCAATGACGGCTATGGTTTTCTCTTAGAGGTTGAGAAAAAGCGATGTGGCCGAGGGTGAGCAACCCTAACCATCACGTTATCTTAAATAAGGTCTCAAACCCCAAATTAGGGTTTACCATTAAACAACGGGCACGCCGTGACGAATGGATGCCACGTCGTGGCACAAAGTTAGACCCATAAAATTTTTGGCGTTGGCCAATCTATGTGACTCCATCACCACACTTTGGCCATGAGAAATCCAACATCAAACATACTCCCTTCGTCTCAAAATTATAGTCCATCTTTCCTTTTTGGTTTGTCCCAAAATAATAATCCATCTTTCCTTTTTGGTTTGTCCCAAAATAATAGTCCACTTCTAAAAATAAATAACATTTTTACCAAAATACTCCATCATTATTACTTAACCAACTAAACATTTAATGAAACATTAAACACAAAGTAAGGACAAAGCTGTTATTTTATTGCATAAAGTTAGTGGTAATTAATGCTTACTTTAATCCGTGTGTTTTTTGTATGGGGACAATAATTTTGGGACGGAGGGAATATTAAATTACTTAAAAGAAACTTACCCGAAAATTGGTGTTACACATTAGGAGATCGTTTCCCTAGTTAATCTCTTTATAATGATTTGACTGCGTCAACATTTCACGTTTGAATGCGATCAACAATCATAACATGCAATTTCTAGAAGTCCAAACTGACGAATTCCTAGTTTTGGAAAATTTTATCAGGAATTCGGCAGCACATCCAAAGTAGAATACGAAGTTCTACAAGAAATATTGATACGTGAGAAGAGCAAGGTTCGATTGTACACATGCGCAATCGCAACATGTTTCCACATAATGTGATTATACTCTGATATATTTGATTAAATAAAAATGAAAACTTTGGATTGGAAATCAGCACGTTACAAGAACACCCTAAAGGGGTATGGGTTGGTGATAACTTGCCTCATCTTGCTAGTTAAGGTCATTCCATGCTTCCTTACTTGTGTCATATTGAAGGTATGGGTCCAAAACTAATAAAAGAGATATTCCAAGTATAAAAGGGAAGAAATGTGGCTTTCTTTTGTTTGCTTCTTTCTCTCCAGGGCCGGTCCAGACGGTGGGCAACCTGGGCGACCGCCCAAGGCCCACGTCTCTAGGGGCCCAAAAATTCTAGGCTATGTAGTGTGTATATATATAAAAAAACTTATTACCTAAATGATTTTTAGAGCATAAAGTTTTTTCAAACTAAAACTAGCTTAAAAGATAAACAATTTTGTTTGCTTGTTATTGCTAATTGAACACGTCTATAATGGAGAATAAATGATATTATTTAATCTTTATTATATATACGTCTTTAAGGGGCCCTTTTTTTTCTTTTCGTCCCGGGCCCCGTATACGTTTGGACCGGCCCTGTTTCTCTCATAAAATCATCCCATTCTCTCTCTCTCTCTATCTTTCTTTCTTTCTCTCCCCCTCTCTCTATCACACACACTCTCTCTCTCTCTCTCTCTCTATATATATATATATATATATATATATATATATATATACACACACACACATCAAGTTCTTAAAGTGTCAAGACAAATAAGAAGAGTCCACACTCTCCTTTAAGACGAAAGATTGTCTTTTGTTCTTAAAAGCTTCAGAGTTTTTGTTTACAAGAAAGACTAGCATTCATGTCAAGTTGAGCTATTGGTGGTGTTTCTACTTAGATAAAGTTATACATCTATATTCCCTATCAACTTCCAACCTCCCGAAAAGAATCGAAGTCTTCAGAGGTTATAGTTCTTATTCTTATATGGTTGTTTTATTTATTTTTCCATGATTTGCAAAATGATCATTGGTGGGTTAAAACAGTTTTAAATTTATTCATTTTAAAATCCGTTCATTGCTAAACTCGCAGTTTATTATATACTATTTTTGAATAAAACCCAACATAAATAACATAATGTTTTATGTTTAGAATAGAACACAAAAAACCATAAGAACTTGTAAAAAACAAAAGTAATTATAGAGAACCGAGCTTTTATATGAAGGTTATAAGACTTTTTCCATTTTTTGATACACATTTCATGATATATATATTTTTTTGTGTACAATTATAACTTACTTATAGTTTATCTTGATTTAGATAATTTATTAGGAGTAGAATTATTATTTATGAAAAAATATCAAAAGTAAGATTTTATTTTAAGTAATTCATTTTTCTAAAATGAAAGGTTTTTTTTAGAATTTAAAAAAAGATTAAATTAGATGAATGATCCCTATAGTTTAGGGTAACTTATGCGTTTGGTTCCTTATTTATTTTTTTTTAATTCGGTCCCTACTGTTTGTTTTTGTTACGTGCTTGATCCCTGTCTTACTTAAAGAAACTATTTTTTCCTTATTTTTTAATTTATTTAAATAAATACACTCCAACCTCACCACCTCACCTTATCTTAACTACCCCATTATTTTCCCCTATTTAAAAATAGTATTTTTAGTTAAGACAAAGACTAAGTACGTAACAAAAACATTAGATTTTCAAATTATAAAAATAAATTAGGAATCAAAAAATGTAAATTAACTCAAAACATAAAGACGGTTAATTTACTTAAAAAAAACATAACAAAGTCGACATTTAAGAATTAAGGGTATCAATTGATTTTTTATTTTATTTATTTATTATTTTTTTACTTTGATTTTGATTTTGGACAAAAGTCAAAAGTCCAAACACACCAAACCACAATCAGTCAATCAGCCTTGATTGCGATTTGCGAGGGATGATTTAGTAACTTCCCACTATCAAAAACCGCTTGTATTTTTCACTCAACCTATAAAAACGCTGTTATGAGAACCAGGGTTTAAAGTTAGGGTTTTCCTGTTCCGCCATAGCCACTGGGAGAGAAGAACAATCGGTAGTAATGGCAGAAGAAGCAGCAGCCCCAGAGACCACACTTCTAGACGCAATAAAAGATGGTTCATCAGCAGCCCCACAAGAGATGGACATGGAAACCATCGATTCCGATGCTGCTGCTGCGGTTAACGGCGGTAAACGAGAGAGGGAGGAAGGAGTGACAGCCGAATCTTCGGAGGATGGAAACGAAGCGAAAAAGGCGAAGGTGGATCAGGAAGAGAAGTCCGTGGAAGAACAGAGACTGGAGAAAGATGCAGCAAAGAGTGGTCCGGTGGCTCTTGGGTATAAGAACTTTGAGACCTCTGTGCAGATGTTTGATTACTTCTTCAAGTTTCTCCATTTTTGGCCTCCAAATCTGAACGTCAACAAGGTATCTGGCTTTATTCTTGATTTTAATCATATTATTTCATCAAGTTCGTCTTTATCATATTAGATAAGAGAAGCAGTATTATATTAGTAAGTTTACTGAAAATCATATACTACAAAGCAAATTGATTAACTGAAAGTGAGTTCAATATGAATTCAGTAGTTAAGTTGCCTCCTTCCATGGTCAAAATAGGTATAGTCATCATGATGGATCTGCAAGAGTGACTGATATTTCAGAAAAGTTGCACGTTTCTTTGATTTCATATCACCTGTTTGTTTATAGCAACATATGTATCAATATCTGACAATTATCAACTTCATTTGCTCCATTTATATTTAAGTGAATCTCTTCGACTTATTAATGTATATTTCTTTTTGACTTGATACAGTATGAGCACGCAATGTTATTGGATTTGCTAGAAAAGGGTCACGTAGAAGCAGAGAAAAAGATTGGTGGAGGAGTGAATGCGTTTCAAGTGAGGTATCACCCACACTGGAAAAGCCGATGCTTTTTCTTGATCAGAGAGGATGAGTCTGCTGATGATTTCAGTTTCCGTAAGTGTGTGGATCACATCCTACCCTTGCCGGAAAACATGGCAGTAAAACCTGATGTCAACAAGGCATTGGGTGGTGGTGGTCATGGTGGTAGAGGCGGAGGACGTGGTGGTGGTCGTGGAAATTGGCGTGGACGTGGTGGTGGTGGCAGGGGTAAACGGAATTAATGAAGTCCCTTCACATGTTGGTTAATTGTGGTAAAAGAAGAGACATAGTTTATAGAAGAAACTGCAGTATTGTTCTTCTTTCTTGCATGTCTGCCTGGATTTTGATTTTTGGTTATGATTAAGTTTTACAATTTTGGCTTTCTTTTTATCTGTTATTTTTAGGTAATGTTACTTCTTCACTCATTAAAGTTAAAATATAAACGGAGGTCCCAATTTTTCTACAGGGGGATCAGATGTGATGTGGTTGAGAACCATACAGGCGTCTTGCTTAATGATAGGAAACAACAATAAGTTGTGGTAGTGTAATGAATTATTAACGAATGAATTAATAAGATAATGATCGAATTAGGTTTGTACCTTGATGATTTTGAAAAAAATGTTATCGAGTTGTAACAGAAATATAGAACTTAAGATAACTGAAATAACTGTAATGAAATGATATTAGGTTCGTATCTTAATGATTAGAGAAAAATGTTATTGAGTTGTAACAGAAAATAAGAACTTAAGATAACTGTAATGAAATGATATCGTAAGATCAAGGGGTGTGATCATATCAAATCCTCAAAAAAAAAAAAAAAAAAAACCATTCAAAAAGTGATCCTAACTAAGCGCAAGGTCAACTCTATTACAAACTTATTACAAAATCACTAGCCATTAGAAATTGTTAACAATTTTTTTTGATATATTAGATTAAAATAAAAACATAATTCAAATAAAAACACACATTAAATTAAAAACACATTACATTAATTTAAAACACACAAATTTAAATCTTAAAATACTTAAAAAAATATAAAAAAATACAATCCTAAATTACTTATTTATCTTAAATTACTTAAAAAAAAACATAAAACATACCAACTAAAACATAAATATTAGAACTTAATTTCCATATTTGTCGTGGATTTGTAGTTGTATTTTTAGAAATGTTGCTAGATTTTTCAGGTTGAGATCCGGTTGGGGTTTTGTGATTATAATTTTGAAGATCGGTAAGAACGATTTTTCAGCGACGAGCTTTCTCCGTTGATTGGTATTTTTTTTTTTTTTTTCTAGAAAACTTAAAGTTTTATCTATGGATTCCACAAGCTCGTCGTCGCTAGTTGCGGTTGCTTTTCCGTTTGAAGACGCCACCCCGTTTTGTTTTGTTTCTTCCCGGTGGTCGATGAAGTTAGACTTCCGGTAGACCCTCTACCTCGGCAACATCGAATTCATCATTGAGGTCTAGGCTAAAACCCGGATCCGAATCGGAAGTTCTTGGTCTTTTGTTGGAGCTGGTGGTCGAGTCCGAATGCGACGTCTCCGAATTAAAGACCCATTTGGACCCTTACGCAAACTTCCCATCTTTTTGGTGACCGAATGGTTTACTATTGTTGGTAACTTTGAATTGGTAGCACCCGATTGATAAAATATTGAAGTCGTTGCAACTAGTTTTCTGTATATTTTTTTTAGATTCTCAAATATGCCATTAAACTTTGTGCAAGCCGCTCATAGATCATGCCATTTTCCATTGACTGCGTCGTACGACCAATGTGTTTGCCTTCCTAGTAGCGCGTGAAAGTGATCCAAAACACGATTCCAAAAACTTTTGCTGGATTATGCATTAGCTCTTCTCAAGTCACACGATATGAAAATCCAAGATTTCGCTAAAGCTTCCTCCTCTTTTTTGTTCCAAGCCACTGTTTTTTTTGGTTGCGTTCTTCGAGATGGTTGTGGTGTTTCTTGGACCTGTTCATTATCATTGTCGAGGTTTACAGTTTGGGATTGAGATAATGAGATATGAGATGACTGTGTTTGGAATTGTTGTGGCTGAAATTGTTGAGAATGTTGTTGTTGAAAACCATAGAATTGGGGTTGAATGAATTGTTCTTGTGGTCGTTGTTGTTGGTAGAATTGTGGGTTGTATGCAAAGTTAGTGAATAAATGTTGTTGTTGGATTGAAGAGTTTAACAATTGCATGTAAGTTTGATAATCATTTGGAGTGTTTGGAGTAGGTGGAGTATTTTGGTTTGGGTCAATTTTTGAAGAAAAGATAAAGAAAGTAGAAGAAAGTTGGTGTTTTAGAAGTATAAAATATAGGTAAAATGTGTAGTATGTATAGGTAAAAGATGTACAAGATGTTATTTCAATTTAAAAGTTTAATATTTTTTTTTTATAAAAAAATCAATTAAACGGTCAAATATACAGTTGTTACTTTCTCTCCCTTCATCCGATTCGCTATCTTTGTCCATGGATGGGACTACACCACAAGCCACCTACGCACACCTGGGGCGGTGTTCACGCGTAGGTTGGCATGCCCACTCAGCTCCTACACGTGTTTTTCCTAACCATACTGGAAGGCCTTAAATATGAAAAAGGCGTTCACTTTACATTTGGAAGTGTATCCTCTGGTGGAGTCCACAAGGTGTCCAGAGGGATGTCTTCTTCTAAATTTGCCTCAACATTGCAGGTGACATTCCTTCATCTAATCGATTGTTTGATGCGATTGCTAGTCATTGTGTTCCTGTGATAACTAGTAATGAGATCGAGCTTCCGTTTGAAGATGTTCTTGATTGCTCAAAATTTACGGTATTTGTTCGTGCATCGGATGCTATTAAAAAGGGGTATCTTATGAAGCTTCTTAGAAAGATTCGGAGAGATAAATGGATTCTAATATGGGAAAGATTGAAGGAAATAGGGAAACATTTTGAGTAAGGATATATGTCAAAGTGTGGTGATGCTGTTGACATATATGGTAGATGGTTATGTACATGAGAAAGATGGTAAGAAAAACAAATGTGACATGTCACAGAAGTTCTTAGATGCCATCTGATTCTTTTTTCCTCGCTGGGACTTTGGTCTCATCGAATTTGAGTCGTGGTTTCACAACCAATATGGAAAGTGAATCACAGTTTTTTTAGAGACTATAATTATAGTATAGATTCTCACTTTATTTACTGCCAAGGGAAAGAGTACAATACCATTTTGGTAGTGTATATTGTATGCAATTTGAAGAAGAATTGTAATGAGTAATCGAAAGTAAATCAGAGTAATTCAACTAATGATTTAGAATGAACACCCAATGTAAATATGATCTGGTTTCAGCTTTGCCTACTTTCAGAAACTTGAGTACAAAAACAGATAATACAAGTTGTGTAAACTCTATTACCTACACTCAAGTTCATACCCTATTGATAGGATACTGAAAGTACAAAGAATACTAAGGACTCAACATTACGTTTCGACTGAACATGTGCCTTAGTAAATACATACGAAATTACAATACATACACTTCGACTCTTTACAACATTTTGACCCTAACAATCTCCCGTTTTGTAAACGAGTCAAACTACTCAATTTGTGAGAATCTGAATAGCAAAAAGCATCACCCTTTGAATCTCAGTATACCAAGATAATATCTTCATCTCTTTCTTATCCACTTGATTGTTCTTCAAACAGTTATTTATACAAACAACAAAGTTCGTATACTGGGATGTGGTATACCTTTCCACTTCGGATGCTTTGAACAAAAATCTTTTATTCTTCCCATTTTTATCCTTTCCAACGAAGACTATCCCAAATGGTTTCAAGCATATTTCCCCATCAGCATACTTCTTTAACTCAGCTTGATTCTTCATTGGTTCCATAGGAACTTTCACTTCTAACCCCTTTGTAGTAGCCAACTCCACATCAGTTAATGCTAAACATTCATAGTAGTTATCTATGAATATCTTGATGTGAGCAAGACCAAGCCTAAAAACTTCTAGATCAGTTTCTCAAAGATACGAAGCATCTTTATCTTTCAAAAGCAAAGCAACTTGTATAAGATCATACAAATTCATCAAAGGAAAATCAGCCATAGAGAAATCATACACTTGACCATTCGCCCTTGTAACATAGAAACGAAAATTCTGCATCATGTTCTCAAACAAAACATCCTTCTTAATACTGATCACTTTTTTTTTTTTTTTTTTTTTTTATCTTCAATAAAGACCATATCTCCTCTGTAGCTTTCCCAAGAACAACATGAAACCTAAGTTTCATGTATGTATACTCATCTTCATTTTTGAACTTTTCAGCAATCTTGAATTGAGGCATTATGAACATCATCTCATTCACTGGAAAATCAAGTTGGCTCATATCTGCATTTGTAACAACATAGATTTGTTCTTTTCAAAAGCATACATGTGATTATAAGACACTTTTGCTTCAATTGTTTCATAGTTGTAATGTTTAGCATGATCTCCCTTACTCATTCTAGGAGGATCATTTGCACGAAGCCTCATTATGCTTTAAACAACTCTTAACTTCTCCATTTCAGCTTCAGCTTCAGCTTTCTTCCCCTCTTTACTTTTTTCAACCATAATTATTTTACCTTTGTCTTTGTCCGAAGAAATATCAATAGCTTCCTTCGGCTTCTACCACATTCAGTAGAAGAACCAATAACAATTTCTTTCATAATTGGCTTTGTTATCAGCATCGTGGTAACAACCGTTGAACTAACCGGCCCAGCAGATGAACCAATTAGCTTTGTTGTTATAACCTTTGTTAAAGAAACCTTCCCAACAGTTTTGACATCTTCATACGAAGCCTCACCAACCTTCGCATCACCAACATTCTTATCTCCCCCTTGCACCCCTGTGCTAACAGGTGGGCCATCCGTTGGTTGAAGGTTTGAGATCCTGGACAATGGAGCCAACTGTTTATGCAAAACAGCTTCGAATTGAGAAAACTTATGATATAAGAATTCTAGGGTAATAATCAAAGATGAAGCAGGCTTTAACACAAAGTCTTTCAATTCCTTTAACAATGAAATAACCTCCACAAAATTTTAACTATCACTTGTAGAAAGTTGAGTAATTTGAGGACTCAAACTTTCGTACATTTTAACATACTTTGTTGCATCATCACATATAACATCCACCTTCTTATGTAGAGCTATATAGTCTTATTGAACACTAGCAATCTCTTTTGCCATTTCTTCACGAAGCTCTTGAAGCTTAAAATTCACATCTTCTCTAACCTTCTTCACATCAAGAATATGTTGGATTAGTGTCTAAGTCCATAACTATTTTGGTATGTACTTGACCCGATTATGAGCATGGTCCTTTTGGGTTGCCTTCACCATAGCAATATGTAGGATGCATTAAGGAGAGAAAGGTTTAATTATGATTTATTAATATATTATGAGAATAATATATTAAAGGAGAAATCATATAGTTTAATTAATATTAGTCAAGAATTAGTTAAAAATTAATTTTATGGCTAAAAGAGATTAATTAAAATTAGGGGACTGGAATTGTAATTATAAGATAATTGCAATTGGGCTATGGATCACCTTGGAATATAGGTTGGATGAAATCTATGGGAAGCCCATATGATTTTCATCCAAGGCATGTTCCAGAAGGGGCCAATGGGCAGCTTAGGGCTTAAGCAGTCAAATTAGGGTTTCCTTGTTAGATAACCCTAATTGCCTACCCATTTAAGGACCCCCTAAGCCCCAAAAACGTGGTGACTGAATCCTTAGGGTTTCCTGGACATTTTGGAGCCACCTTCCTCTTCTCTTCTTCATCTAGTTGCTTAGTGGTGTTTGTAACTCCATTAGAGGTGCAACACTTAAGGTACTAAGCTTTCTTCAGCCAAGGACTAGATTGTTATTGCTATATAACAATCAAAGGTTAGATCTAAACCCTATTTTATGTTAATATGATTAATTGTATGCTAGATCTAGGGTTTATAACTTTGGATATTCAATTGCATGTTCATTAGATGTAACGCCCGTAGATCCAGGCTAGTCAATTTAGAGACGTTAAGCGTCAAAAATGACTTTTTGATAGAAGATTATTTAGAATGAATAATCTTAACTAAGTTGTAGTAAATGTTACAAGGATTCCGTACATATAAAGAACGTTGAAATCCGAGTGATAACAAAGAAGTTATGACCCGTCGAAGTTTCGTGACTAGACCAGCACGACACAGCGCGACGTAAATAATGAATTTATGATAAAGTGCTTTTTAGCCTTAGTGATCTAAACGAAAGTTGTAGATTTCATTAAACCGAGAGCGTGCGTAAAAAGAACGCCCAAATCTGACATCGTATGAGGATGTTATGATTTTTCTAAGTTTCAGCTTAACAGTATGCAGCCCGAAACCTGAATTTGAGATCGAGTGATTTTTGGCTAAAACAATCTAAACGAGAAACGAAGATCTTGTTATTATTAGCGCAATGGTGAAAAGACAATCGAAAACAGACGTCAGATGAAGGAGTTATGAATTTCTAACGGAGTTTTCCTGTTCCGACCTACTAAAAATAATATATTATTAATATATTAAAATTAAAGTCAAAATTAGCCGACAAAGTCTAAATGAAAGTTGTAGATCTTATTTTTACCTATGCGTGGATATAAAGAACGTCGAAAACGGAGTTTGTATGCGAAAGTTATGATTTTTTGAAGTTCGGGGCGCGAAACCCCAAAACTGTCAGAGTTCACGACGTGAATACAATGTTCACGACGTGAACTCAGTATTTATGACTTCTGGAGCCTGACAGGCGCAACTTGCGATGACGCATGCAGTGACGACCGAACTCACGATGTGAATATTTGAGATTTACGACGTGAATCCATAAAATCAACCCTATAAATATAATTCAAGGGGCAACCGAGTTTGGTTGCTCAATCTCTTCTCTCCCACTCCTGATACCCTCTTTAAGCCCTATTTTATGCCCCCGAAGCCCCAGTATCATCCCGAGACCCGAAGCAAGTCCCGATGTTCCGAAGATCCCGAGAAGAAAAAAGTTTCCGAGCCAAAGCTTTGCCCGCGAGAAGCCCGGTGTGTGAAGGGATCATAGTTTCACCGAAGAATACTACTTCTATAAGCCGTAGTGTTGCCCGGTCATCTTCTGATCATGTGAGTGTGTAGTTACTTTCTTCTAACACATAAATATTAAGTATTTGCTATGAAATACGTGCTATGTGTGTATATATTGTAGTTTATTTGAGATGATTGTGGAATGGATGAACTATATAGGTTTTAATGAGTTAAACCGTATATGTATTTTGTATCTACAAATATGTTGGGTAGAACATGGGTAGATAAGATTGCTGGTATGTGATAAAAGATGAGTTGGATCATGAGATAAAAGGGTAAATAGATAAACTTGTTTTAGATCAGGGAGTATGAATCAGATCAGGAGGTTAGTTTTAGATCCGGGAATATGGATTAGGTAATGAGGTAAATTTTAGATCCGGGAGTACGGATTATGTATTTTTGAACTAAGTGTTCATCCGATAGGGTATCATGTGCATATTCCCTTTCATGGACATAATTTTAATACAAGTATTGATTAAAGTATTAATTATATATGTGTGTGTAATATTTGTTATTGCCCAGAATACATGTTATATATAATTGATGATATACAACGTACGAACCAGTTATGGTCCATTATTAAGATGTGTATATATGATATTATTACTTAAAACTTTGTGCTAAGTATACTCATAGTTAGTGTTTCCAAACGGAGATAGTATCGGAAATTGATTATAGGCATTGTAGGCTTGCCTAGTGATGGGTTAAGACTTAAATAGGGATGTTTAGTTCCATTAAGTTTGGACATTGGGTCGCCTCTTATTAAGAGTACGTGTGTGGTGAGATCGATGATCGGTGGAGTACGTCCTACGTATAGAAGTACATTTTATGTATGAAGTCCTTTT